TGTCTGTCTGTGTGTGTGTGTGTCTGTCTGTGTGTGTGTCTGTCTGTGTGTGTGTCTGTCTGTGTGTGTGTCTGTCTGTCTGTCTGTGTGTCTGTCTGTCTGTGTGTGTGTGTGTCTAGACATCGATGAGGAATTCAAGAGGGAGCTGGTGAATCTGGTGCCTCTGCTTCTGGCTCCTGAGAGTCTGATGGAGAAGGAGATCAGCGGCTCTAAAGTCACGTGTCGAGATCTGCTGCAGTATTTCAGAGTAAGACACACTTCTCCTCCGCGTCTCCATCGTTCAGATGCCTGCTGGGATTGACCGTGTGTTTCTCTGTCGCAGGCCTACATGAAGATCTATCAGGGCGAAGAACTGCCGCATCCCAAGTCCATGTTACAGGTACAGACAGAATATCAGTTTGGCCCAATCTGAGGTCTATCTATGCATAAGGCCCTTTGATTTTGGTTATGTGCAGTTACAGAAATATATTGCTACTGTGCAACAGAATGAACTTCTCAAAGTAATAATAAAAACTTTATTCATTTATTACAGTTTAGTTAAAATTTTAGAAAAATTAAGACCGAAAACGTGTAATTAAAACATGTAAATAAATTAATTTGTGAACAAATAAAACACATTTTTTTAGGGTCCTTCATGTGTCGTTTTTTGAGAGGATCAATCTCAGAATGCTTTGTGATAAGCTCCATGAAATCTTTCATTATTATAGATATTAGGATTCCCACATGTCCTGAGGGCATACAATTATATTAAATGGTATCGTGTGTGAGTCAGGGTTTTCTGGGATTGATCGTGATGTGAGTGCTGTGTGTCTGTCGTGTGCCGCAGGCGACGGCTGAAGCGAATAACCTGGCCGCTGTAGCAGGAGCGAAAGACTCGTACAGCAGGAGCATGGAGCAGGTACGTCTCTCACCTGATCACGTGATCTCTCGGCTGTGACGCCCGTGACACACGCGTGTTCTCCCGTCTGCAGGTGTGCGGTGGAGACAGGCCCTACATGTCTCCGGCGGATCTGGAGCGCAGTCACGAGGAGCTGAAGCAGAGCTGTGTGCGTCAGTTCCGCGGCGTGAAGAAGATGGGCGGCGAGGAGCTCTGCCTCCGCTATCAGGAGCAGCTGGAGCAGGAGATCGACGAGGCCTACGCCAGCTTCCTCAAACACAACGATGGGAAGAACATTTTCTTCGCGGCGCGCACGCCGGCCACGCTGTTCGCCGTGATGTTCGTCATGTACGTGGCGTCGGTGGTGACGGGCTTCGTGGGTCTGAGCCCTGCGGCGGCGCTGTGTAACCTGCTGATGGGCCTGGCGCTGCTCTCGCTCTGCGTCTGGGTCTATGTCAGATACTCCGGGGAGTTCAGAGAGCTGGGCTGCTTCATCGACCGGCTGGCAGAAACCCTGTGGGAGCAGGTGCGTATGCACACAGACAAGCTCTGGTTTGCAGTTTCCCCCACTTGCATCTCTCAACCAGCTGTACTGAAAACATATTTTATGACCTTTCTAGATTTTATGATTTCGTCAGATTCAGTATTAGGGCTGGGCAAAAAAAATTTACTTTTTGATTAATCGGTTTTTTTTTTAAATGACGTCGATTCGATATCTATGTTTTCCGGTATTTATTTCGATCGACGTTCAAAACCGGACAGAGAACTCAGGAAACACCTTAAATACACAAGACATGACGAGAAACACCTGGGATCAATGAACATAATAGGAACAGGAAACATGAAGGACCATATATGGGCATGGACATAACCTGGAGCACGTGGGGAAGCACATTTTCTGTTTTGAATTTTTAAAAATCACAGCTTCATCGGAATGGTGCGAAACTCTGTGACTTTTATGGCGTTTGGAATGTGAACACACAAAAACATGGAGGGCATGATTCGAGCAGGCTAAGTGGTCGTTAAACAAATAGTCACACTTGTACTCTTCAGTCAAAAATGACCGACCATAGGAAATGAATGGGAAATCGGCAAAAACTAAAAATTCTGAGAATCTACAAATCTGACACAATGCAGATAAAAGTACACGGCAATGACAGCGTGAAACTCTAAAACATCAAAAGTGCAAAACCAACACATCCACTCACACACACACACACACACACACACACACACACACACACACACACACACACACCTTTGAACTGGTGTGACTGTAACATAGCAAATATGTAAAATAAAAGCAATAATTCAACTACAATGCAGTAAAAAGTGGACGGCAATGAAGGGGTTACACTCTAAAACATCAAGAGTGCAAAACAGACACACACTCTCTCTCACACACACACACACACAAACAAACATACACAATTATACACACTCATATTAATTAGTATGGCTATAACCATATAGCCATAACGAGTCAGAAAACTTAAGTGTGAAATCAAATCAGGCCCAGAAGGATTAAGCTCTGATAAAACATTTCTGTTCATTTTTGTTACATTTTTATAGAATTGTAATGTTTTGTGTAACAAAATGCTTGGTTTGACTGTAGTAATAATAATTCAAAAACTGACTCTTCAAATCAACATTTTTACAAAAAGTTGTCTTTGAGAATGTCTAAATATATATCCAAACCCACAACT